CGTGAATCTGGATATCACTTCTAATTTGACATTTCTGTTGTATTTTAGACACCAGCCAAACAGTTCTGTGGAAAATTAGTTGTAACAGCGAGTGGTGGAGAAGCGGTAAGATGTCGATTCGGTAACCAGTGGGTGAATACGGGGGCATAAAATTTCAGAATCATCGCCTCTTCAGTCCCGGGGTTGAGATTCAACTCGCGTTTAACATTTCGTTACAGAGTTTTAAGGCTTGATTCATAAAAAGAGTTCAAGGATCAATTCGTGCCAGTCAAACAACCCTGAGCGACAAGCTAAATCTTGCTCAAGATGAGTGCAGTGCAGTTTTTTACAAATCTGCGATAGCTCAACTGATTCCATTGAGAAAGTCAGCTACAATCCACAATTGCCACCCACTTTTAAAACAGTTTCTTTCAATTAATTTTATTCACCTACATCTACTTTGGATTTAAAACTTTTCAATTTGAGACGGATTCAGACGGAGAGTGTTCAGAATGCTCACACGTTAATATTTTTCCGTGGAACTTTCATTAAAAATGAACCAAACAGTAATTTTGAAAAACACTGTGTGCTGTACTTACGAAGTTCGAGGCTTTCGTCTAACAGATAAATGATGCGTAATGCGAGGGAGCAGACAACGATCAAATCGACGAGTGCCAGCACCAGAATATAGGTCCTCAGGCGGTCACTTGGCAATCTGGACCAGCTGTGTGTCCGTGGTCGTGTGTTTCTTATCACTGAGCAAATGACCCATAGATTACCAAACACTCCTAACTTGATAGTTACCAGATACAGTGCCGAAAGTGCATAAGGCTGCCACATTCTCAACTGATCAATCCTGAAAATTTCAAGAGAGAAATAAACTACAAGTCTAAAACACCATGCAAAGGAACACAAACAGCCGCATTTTTTACCGCTAATTGTTCTCGTGCTATCATTAAATGGCCATCTTTCTGAGATCCATCATCTTTGTCTTTTTTTAACTTGGCGAAACCCGCCCTCATTAAATAGTTACAAATGAAAGTGAACAAAAATAAAGAACGCGAATAATTGCTCGTTATTCACTAAAGCCACTAACATTGTTCCAGTCTCTTTACTTTAATCGTATAATTCCATTCATCAGTTGATGCATGCCATCAGAT